CCGTGCCAGGTGCAGGGTCTGCTAGCTGGGTGCTGGCAGGCTTGCACCTGGCACGGGCACCGTAGCCAGCCCGTGCCCCTTTAAGGGGTCCGGGGCCGGGAGGGGGGCATAGAGTTTCCCTGGTGTTGGCCAGAGTGGCCACCAGGGAAACCTGGGGAGGGCTAGCCTCCCACTAGTTCAAATTAAGGGGCTACACACCCCTAATATGAACTAGTTAGTTCGAACTAGGCTTAATCCTCGTAAAATGAGGTTTTCCTAGTTCGAACTAAGCGCTCCGTTAGTTCGAATTAAATTCGAACTAACGGAGCGCTAGTGTAGCGCCTATGAAAGTTAGTTCGAACTAACGTCCGTTAGTTCGAACTAACTTTGTAGTGTAGACATACCCTTACTTATTTGTAGGACATTTTCCTTACATAGGAATACAGGAATTGCCAGACTGGATTCAAGCCAGTGGTCCATCTCGGGCATGTCTACACAGAGGGGTAACACACTCTACAGAATGTGATTTCCAAGCACACTAATTTTTTGTGCATAGGTGGGGGATGGAGCCCAATTTTGGGGAGGTAAGCCCTTGGCTTCATCACCTCCCACAGCCAAGGACTCCAAGACACCTTCTCTCTCCCCCTTCCCCCTGCTGCTCGGAATACCCTAAGCCGCCTCTTTTCTTTGTCTTTCTCCAGAAGAGGAGCCTGAGTTTTTAATGTCCCATGCAGGTTCCAGGGCAGATGAGGAGGCAGTATGTGCTGCTCAGCTTTCTGGGTTCACCAGTAATCAACCTGGTGTCCGGAGACAACTTGCACATGGAAAGTTCTTTTTAAAAAATCTCATTAGCCAGATGTGGCTGAGTCCCTGAAACACAAGTGTTTGTATCCTTTCCACAATTCCTAGCTTTTTATTTGTTGGATGGGCTTTTTTGTGTGTTCACTTTTATTTCTTCCGGTTACAAGCCTCGTCATGGCTGAGTTAGTGATGAATAAGCTCATTTGCTGTAAAGCTTAAAGCAGAAACCCTCTGGTCTAGGTGTAATTTTGGTTCAGAATGCTTTAGGTTCATATAATCTGCCTCTGTGCCGGGGGATGAACTAGATATCCTCCTGAGGTTCCTTCCTGCCCTAAAATTCTATGATTTCTAGGATTTATTTGACATTCCGTGGGTTTTCATAGTCAGGACAGAGTTTTGTACCTTTTTGAATGACAGATAAAAAATAAGACTGCTTGTGAGTGCCATTTTGGGCCAATTATAAATGAGGGAACGGTCTTAGCATAAATCACTTAGCAGAAATTGCTTTGCCATTCCATCATGGAGATTTTTGTTTCTGGGCATGTGTCCAATTTGGGATGCTTATTGTCTTATGGATCTGGATTTGGTGATCATTCAGCTGTAACAACAAAAGAAAGGCCAGCCAAACTGGCAGAATGGACATTACTAGATATGCACTTCAAGTGCTAAGCCTTCAGCTGGGGTCAACAACCCTCAAAATAAATGGCATTACTTTGATTTACACCAGCAGAATATTTGGCCCCATGCAAACACAGAGTTAAGTTCAATGTAACAAAGTGGATTTTGAATCATAGAACCAGAAGGAATCCTAAGAGTTATCAATTCCAGTCTCCTGCTCTCACACGGCAGGGCTAAGTATTATCCAGACCATTCCTGACAGGTGTTGTCTAATCTACCCTTAGGAATCTCCAATGATGGAGAATACACAGACTCCTTTGGCAATTTATTCCAGTGCTAAACCTGACAGGAAATTGTTCTTTATGTCCATCCTAAACCTCCCTTGCTGCAATTTGAGCCCATTGCTTCTTGTCTTATCATCAGAGGTTAAGGAGAATAATTTTGTCTCTCTCTTCCATGTAGCAACCTTTTAGTTACTTGTTTCAGATGAGATGTACAATAGTACACAAAAGGAGAAATAAGCTGGCTCGTATTGGAATCACTTATCAAAACAGGGATTCAAATGAGAAGAATCAGAAGAAATGCCATTCCCCTTGTTAAATCATTATTTATATCTAGGGTTACCAGGTAGGTTTAGAATTTTGTCTCTCTCTTCCATGTAGCAACCTTTTAGTTACTTGTTTCAGATGAGATGTACAATAGTACACAAAAGGAGAAATAAGCTGGCTCGTATTGGAATCACTTATCAAAACAGGGATTCAAATGAGAAGAATCAGAAGAAATGCCATTCCCCTTGTTAAATCATTATTTATATCTAGGGTTACCAGGTAGGTTTAGAAAAAATACTGGACACACTTGATGGGGGGAGACCAAACAGGAGGGGGGTGGGGTTGGCCAGAAGGGTGAGGCGGGGGGAGGGTGGC